ATTCAAGGTCACAGGGGTCAAATATGTTAAAAACTTTAAACAACTTCTTCTGAATAACCAAAATGCCCAGGGTGATGATATTTAGTCAGTAGCATACTAGGATCAAGGGCTACCAAGTTTGTTTAAATGTATGACCTTGAATCATATTCAAGGTCACAAGGAGCAAATATACTTGTTCTGAATAACCAAAAGGCTCAGGATGTTGATATTTAGTTAGTAGCATATGGTGGGATCAAGGACTACTATGTTTGTTAAAGTGAATGACTTTGACTTATATTCAAGGTCACAGGGGTCAAATTTGTTTAAAACTTTAAACAACCTCTTATGAATAACCATGGGTCCCAGGATGTTTATACTTTGCAAGTTGCATCCTGAGATGAAAGGCTATACAATGTGTGTTTCAATCACAGGGGTGAAATGTTTTTAAAAAAAATAACAGGGTCTTTTGAACGAATTTTAATTATAAATACTGATATTTTGCCTGTAGCTTTATTTTAGATCACTTTTAAGGTTACAAGTGTGAGATTTATACCAGGTGAGCGATGCAGGCCCATTGGGCCTCTTGTTGACTGTTTCTGGCTTTTTGTCCAATTTCGGCTGTAGTCAAAACTGTTTTCCCGGTCAGAGCGAACTGTTACCCGGCGCAGAAATCCCCCTCGAGAGCCCCATTCAAGCGTGTCGGTGACCGCCACTCAGTGTTGAAGCAATGGCAACATTGCATGCAGCATTGATACTAATATTTATTTGGTAATAAAACAATTGTTTCATGTCTATTTGGGGAACAGTCACAGCGGCCTCGGGCAAACAGTTCCCCAGGGCTTCCCCCTACCGAGGGATGATAGTTTTGACTGTTCCCCAAATAGACATGAAACAATTGTATAATGGGTATATTCACTGGATAACACAGTACATTATGTGATAAATGTAAATACTATTGGATGTGCATCGAAATATATACCGTTAAATGTAAGTTTTCAATTTATACACATAAGGATAGATGTGTTATTGGTTTATTGACAAATTTTTGGTTTTTGATTTCTTGGGGAATATTAGTTAACTTCAGATAATTTGTTTTCAAAAGAATCAAGATAACTGTGTAAAAAATGAAGATTTCAGAATGAAGAGTACAATTTAATAAATAATTAGCATTATTTCAATATATAGTAGATATCAAATTGAAATGTGATTGTTTGTATTCTAGTCTCCATAACTGTGATTTTTTGTTGACAATCCTTGGTACACTTTAATTTTGTCCTTGAGCAAGAGTGTGAGAATCTATTCACATGAGGCAAGTAATACATCTCTAAAAAGCTAACAACTAGCACTCTTTGCAAATATATATCTACACAATTGTCATATATATATAGTCTGGGCAATTTCAGCACTGGGCTTATCAGTTTAAGAAATGACAAAGGTTGGCAGGGCAAGAATATTACAGTATACACTACCGTATATATCCTGCAATAAGCCCAGGGACTAACACCTCTCACAGAAGGATGGGCTTATAAAGGGACACTTAAATAGCATCTGAATGCATACCTACTGAACTGCAATATATTTTGATGGCTTTATTACCAAGCATGGGCTTATAGCTAGATAAATGTGGTATCATGTGGAACTGCTATTTCACCTACGACCTGGCGTCTATAAATGTTGAAAGGGTTGCGTACTACTGACCTTTACGTTTAGCTAATCAGCTATAGCAACATGTTATACAGTATATAGAAAGCAATGTTACCACAAATAACCACTAATTACCATATTAATTCTAAAACAGCAACTGGGGTTATCAGAGGACCTGTTAAAAAGTATGGGTGAATTTTGTTGAAAATGGGTACCAACAGAAAGCTCGTAAAAGTGTCTGCGATACACTGCTTCGTAAGGGATGGAGCAGTGAAAAGGTACTCGTTTCAGATACAGTATTGGTATAAAAGAAAAGTTGGAACTTCTCAAGAATGGAGAAGATAAACGTTTAAATTACATTGAAAGGAATTTATTCATGAGAAAAATATTTATCTTCAAGATTGGGACCCAGGCCATCTGACGCCTCCTGACTCTAGCTTTGAAAAATCATTTCTGAATAGAAAACCATACCTTGCAATACTTTTATGAGAAAAATAATTAAGATGAAAAAAACCCAAAATGTAATCAACAAAGGTGTTCAAAATGTAAAACAGTTAGCAGGGCTAGACGGATTCCAACCCTGGATGTTAGAATGTTATGCTATCACTCTAACTGATTGAGCTATCTGGTCAACAGAAGTGTGCTGGCCCAACTACTACAGTTATATCCAAACAGAAGTGTGCTGGCCCAACTACTACCGTTATTTCCAAAATGAAGTTCAGAGGAGGTCACTGCATATAGGAAAAACTACAGAGCACTGGGACAGGGATCCTTAATTTTGCTAGCTACAAGGTCATCAGCATAGCTACCAGGTCATCAGCATAGTTATGAGGTCATCAGCATAGCTACAAGGTCATCAGCATAGCTACGAGGTCAACAGCATAGCTACGAGGTCATCAGCATAGCTACGAGGTCATCAGCATAGCTATGAGGTCATCAGCATAGGTACGAGGTCATCAGCATAGCTACGAAATCATCAGCACAGCTACAAGTCATCAGCATGTAAACTTTCACAGAGTTTGAGTTAAGTGGAACCTGTGTCAGTATGTGATCCATCTTTAATATCCAAGGTTTACGCTCATGATACAATATTGTTTAGCAGAGAACATGAGAGAGCTCAACCCCCTAGAATTTTTGGGATGAATGTGTTCTAGTTCCATTCCTTTTTTTCTGATTGATAAACACATCTTTTTACCTTTTTGTATTATTACTTAAAAAAAGTGTGATGAAATGTATTCTTTATTTTTTGATGTTATACACAGGTGTGTTTGGTGCTTCGAATTACAAGGTGCTTATTGAATGAATTAGTTATATCTGTTACCTATATAATTGATTGTTGATTCATTATGTAATTTATGATTATTATAAGATTGTTGATTTGTGATGTGATACTGTTCCTGTATGACCTGTTATAATACTTTAATGTTTAAGTGTGACGTATCATACAAACATAACTGCTAGTGTGTTAGTATCCCTAATCATATTTGAGCTGGGCAAATCACCTGGTTGAACACGACACTTTCTTTACAGGGATTTTACTATTTATGTATTCCTTTTGTTTTGTTAAACTTCCTGGTTATTGGATAAAAGCTGCAGTCTGTTGAATTTGTTATAATTTCATTATAGTTTAATGAAACTGTTCTCCGGGTTTATCTTACCATTTGCCACAAATGGTAGAACTGGCTGAACTTTCTGTTAGACAATAAGAACTTTCTGTTAGACAATAAGAACTTTCTGTAGACAATAAGAACTTTTTGTTAGACAATAAGAACTTTCTGTTAGACAATAAGAACTTTTTGTCAGACAAAAAGAACTTTCTGTCAGACAATAAGAACTTTCTGTCAGACAATAAGAACTTTCTGTTAGACAATAAGAACTTTTTGTCAGACAATAAGAACTTTCTGTTAGACAATAAGAACTTTCAGTTAGACAATAAGAACTTTCTGTCAGACAATAAGAACTTTCTGTTAGACAATAAGAACTTTTTGTCAGACAATAAGAACTTTCTGTTAGACAATAAGAACTTTCAGTTAGACAATAAGAACTTTTTGTCAGACAATAATAAGAACTTTCTGTTAGACAATAAGAACTTTCTGTTAGACAATAGACAATAAGAACTTTCTGTTAGACAATAAGAACTTTCTGTAGACAATAAGAACTTTTTGTTAGACAATAAGAACTTTCTGTTAGACAATAAGAACTTTTTGTCAGACAATAAGATTTTTTTGTTAGACAATAAAAACTTTCTGTCAGACAATAATTACTTTCTGTTAGACAATAAGAACTTTCTGTTAGACAATAAGAACTTTTTGTCAGACAATAAGAACTTTCTGTTAGACAATAAGAACTTTCAGTTAGACAATAAGAACTTTTT